TTGGTCGGTATTGACTCCTTGTTCATTTATTAGAAGCTATTTTTTTATTGAGTGGGTATTGTTTGAGAATGGTAAGGTGGGCATTTTTGACATGTGAACGCACACGCGAATATGACAGGTATGATACTAAGTTTTGTAGGTATTATTACTAAGCAAGCGGTGGCCGTCCGGAACTATATGATACTGTGGTTACGAGTACTCGTACAAGAAGTTTGGGCCTCTCACGACTACCATCCACTATCCCTTCACCTATCTGCAGTCTAACAGGCGTCAGCGCACTACTTACTATCACAGCAGGGGTATCCAGTAAAGAAAGGTAATCCCTACGGAAAGCGTCATAGCCAGAGAAATAGTGATAGATCACGAAAGGCAAATTACCAAGTGCTCTCACTTGGCATTCTTTCTAGGGATCATGAACTCCCTACCACCCACAAATAGTCTGTTGCACTCGTGCAATGCAAGTGCAAGTGGGGGTAGCGGTTATCCTTGCGGTAGATGCCGAGGTGTCAGCAGTGGCTAGGGCGAAATCTGGACTGCGACGGGCATGGCAGCTGGCAGTACTGTAGTGTACCGGTACGAGTACTCGAGCATTTCTGCCCACAATCCCGACAATTTGGAGTAGGCTGGGTCTTAGGCTGTCTCGCCCTTGTCTTCGGATGAGCTTCGCATCTAGGCTTAATGCTGAATCTTAAAGGTTTCCGGAAGTTTAAGTCAACCCCGCACCGTCATGCCTGGCTTTTAAGCAGGGATTATGCCTCACTGCTGGATCCCTCGAATGGAGTTCTCTCCGGCGACGGAAAAAACCTCTGCTAACCCTTCCCTTTCGTGTTTTGATAGAGATCAAGCAATTCTTTCCCCCTCTTTGGCTCAACGGTATAAGCTTTGTTTTTCCTCCATATCTTACCCTTCGTTGGATAAACCTAGTTCTGGCAAGAGCTGGGTTCATGACTACATATCTCGCCACAGGGCATTTCCATTTCGTGATTTACCCTTCTCAGTGGAGTTCCCCATTCGTAAGCGTGGTGTGTGTGTGTTCAGGAACGGAGGAGGATAATCGATGGTGTATTTCCCACCTGCGTCCCCGTCTGTACAAGTTGAACTGCAAAACAGCCGAGACTGGCCCATTGCCTCTCCCCCACCCTAACTCTCTATGGATATCCCTAGTACCCACACCTGCTAGCACTATCGTCCTCGACAGGAGGTGGTGCCGTACGAGTAGGCAGGAGTAATAATTGGAACGCGGGGTTTCGCAGGGTAGGATGGGTTGGAGTGCCGGGGTACCACAGCCGGATGTTGAGAGCGCTTAAGGAGCGGGGGTCGAGGACGATAAGAACGGTTGCGGGGGGAGGGGGAAAAGGTAGAAAGGGACGGAGGGGAGGGAAAGCATGATACATGAAGATAATAGTTTTTTAACGCTGGCGTGCTCTTGTGCGTACTAGCTCATATATTTCCAACAGGGGGCGGGAAAACCTTTCCGAGTGACCAACTATGGATCAATAACCTTGGTTTCTTAATCAATAGCGCACATTTGCGAGGGTTTATGGTTCGGGCATCCGGTTGCGCCTGGAACCTCTACGCCTTGTGAGGGATTTTTTTTCCTCTGGTGACACCAAGATCATATTCTTCCACTATTGCGGTTGTGCTTGATACGAATGCTGTGTCATGCGATGTGGTGCGGTTTGGCTTGTCTGCGTTTGTTCCCTATATCATACCATTATATTCATGATTTCAATTTTTCGTTTGTAGGAATTTTTACCCTTGGCTTCCTGGTGTTATTCTGTTGGCTCAACGCCCATAATATGTGGTAACTATTTCCTCTCTCACTTTCCTTTCTTTCGCCAGTGTCGACGGGCTCATCTTCCCTTCCACCAAGCTGTGCCTCGGGAAGGGGAACTCCTCTTCTCCATGGAGGCAAGCGACTCTCTCCATACGGGCTTAAACTTCATCTATCTTCGGTGCCCTTTCTGACCCTTTACCGTCGTCATTCTAATATCCTCTCTAGACGCTAACAATGGGCGATAGTGGAAAGTTTTGCTAATACTTGGCTCTCTATTCTTTATACGAATAGTTATCGGCTATTGAGATTAGCCAAGATCCTGGAAGGTAGGGCACAGGGTTTGCAATTCCAATCTTAGACCCAGAAACCACTAGGCTGCAACTTTCCAATCCTCATATCCCACCATTAAGACCTCCAATCACTGTGAAAAAAACATTATTATTCTCCTTAGTATTCCCGGTGATCTAGGGTTCTTTTTGGATCAATATTTTAACGTGGCGGAGACGTATAATCATTTAACAATACTAACACTTCGGGCAGGTTCTGGATGGCACGAACCATACAAGAGCATCTCTGATATCAAAATTTTGCTCACCCCAAAAGCACAGAAATCTGGGCGAAAATCACTCCAAGCACCCACCACTCATGCGGTGCATGAATCCGGTTTTGACGTTATTCAGATTGCAATGACGGTAGCCCGAAGGGATTCCAATTTCCAGATCTCCTGGTGTCCCGGTATTGGGTCGTGAGCCTAAGGATTGTTTGGTCGCAGGGGCCAAGTGGCAAAACTCCACCCTTCTCAAGTGCTACCTGAGGGAGAATAATTAGCTCCACGTCGCAATGCCAAGCTGCACCACACTTCCACATCCGAGTCGAGCTCAATCACTCGGAAACCACACATGATGGCCAGATGGGATTCCCAGGTACAGTACTGATGAACTGCGATGCTCTCAAATTCCTCGGGTTTCGCTCGTGCGTTGGAAAGAGCGTGTCACGTTGTCTTATGTTGTTACTGAACGATTTGGGCGATTTTGGGAAATACACTGTAGAAATATCCGGCTACTTGCGCCCTTAGCGGGGAGAAGCGAGACAGGTTTTGGTCGTTCGCATCTACGGGTTGGTGGCTCTACTGCGCCTCTGTTCCTTGTTTTTAACGCAATGGAGATTCTTGTGTGATACATTATGACTGACGCTGTTAGAAGAGACATGGCACCATCTGGAATATTTTTTGTCCTACGGATATCTCCGCTACCTCCGCATCTACCTCCCCTATTTACAGAAGAATAGCGTACAGCAAGTTTGTAGGGCTGCCTTCCTGGGTGTGTTCCCTGCGGGTGATCTCCGAAAACCGAACCTACTTGATATCCATCAAAGCAAAGCCACTCACGATGACCCAATTCATAAATCTCTGATCCGGAAATGATTCAAACGGGATGCGAACTTTCAAAGTTAACTACTGCGCTAGGTAAAAACGTATAAATTCCATAGGCCAGGAAAGAAGCGCTCTGACGTGCCAGTTTTTTCTTCTTCTCTTTTTCTTTTTCCTCACGGATTCCAGGTTAGATTTCTTCACAGATGCTTGGCGAGTGGGTTACAGGTCCAAGACTTACAAAACTACGAACTCGGCATTTCACTTAATATTATGCGGGAACATGGATGTGATGGGAAAACCCAAGTTTGTTTTCTACAAAACTCTATGCATTCTTAGGTAAAAGCTAACAAACCTGCGTAAACGCGTCCTCAGAGTTTCCATGACCTTCCAAGTAGCACTTGCCTTTGGAAAACGCTTCACTAGCCCTCCCTTTCCAACTATTCAGTAAAACGGATCGTGATAGAGGTTCGCAATGTCCCTGGAAATGAATATTAAACGGAATATGGATCACCGCTAGCAAGTTAGATAGAACATAACCCTGATAGGTTAATATTGATTTGCCTTTGGGTCTAGAAAATCATAAAGTTACTATTTTGAGAAAATAAAGGAAGCGCGGCGATAATAGTTGAGAGCCTTTCAGAATCTAGTTGGATAAGGCCATGGGCGGAAAAGAGAGAGCGGCCCACAAACACCGGCACCTGAGAAGTGTGTAGGCTGCTCCTCTCGATATCACCGCAGAATGCAGAAAAATCCAATAGGGATGTCACCTCCCTGGCCCCCATTCCAGTCCCTAGGACTCAAATTCAGCCCACATCTACCTCCTCTCCCCCCCCCAAAAAAAACCTAAAATACCGATTGGAAGTTGTATTTTCTAATATCGAAACAAACCGCAAGGAAGCGCCAACTTTTGCCAGTCCTCTAGAAAGTACGAAGCACGTTTCGGGTAAGCTATAGTAAGGGGCGTTGAAATATTGAGGTTGGGGGCACTTTCCCTCAGACAATATATCAATATTCACAAAACTACGGGAACGCCGCGCTGAATAAACTTCAACAATCTGCAAGTACGTATGAAGTCACTGGGACACAGCTTATATCACTATCACTCTCGACCTTTTCTAGGCTTCCCCATACCCCTATGCGGATAAAAAATCCTTTATTTTCCGAGCGCAGTTGCACTGCTGCACCAAACTAAGAAAGGCCAAGCAAAACCACAAATCATGACAAGCTATTGGACACCGGTCTTGCGCTGCTCCTTTGGGGAGTTTCCGGGGCTTTCTATGGCGAGTGATCGTTTGTAGTTGCGATTATTGGGTGGTCTGTGTTGGAAATCGTCTTATTACAAAAACTCCGCTCCTCGAGTGACATTGAATGACTGCTTGCGTCACTCTCATGTCTGTAGGCCTACCTCTACGCGTTCTTCTCTTTCTCTTCTTTTCTGGGTTGTTATCATCTTCGTTTAGCAATCAATATTCGAACCTCAATCCTACATTTGCTCATTCAATATCTACTCCCGTGATTACGTTTAGCGGTTGGGAGTAAAGCTGAGTGATTCGCGATGTTAGGATTCGTATCTATAGGGTATAATTGGATAGCATGTGCAAGGATAGCTGGGATATGAAAGAACCAAAGTCCTATTTAGCAATAGCTATTGAGTTATGATACGGCAACGTCTATTTTTCGAAAAAAAAAAACTGGTGGGGAAATGTAGGTAGGACTAAGGGGGTAATTAGTTAATCCAATTGAGCGTGCCACTCCAGCAGCTGTGAGGGAACTCCCATGCCTATCCTAAGGGAATATGGGAACCACCGGGACCTGCACACACAACATATCATAACTAGTTCAGATGAACCCTTACAAAAAGTAACCAATCTGGACAATGTATCAAACCCTAGTATCACCGTAATATGGTAACAATATTATGATATCATATCCCATAAAGAAACTAGGGTTGCCCAAGGGACATCATCTACATTCCAATCTCCCAAACGACGCTCCACCCACCCCCACTCTGCCCTTTCTCCACTACCTTTCCCCAAACCTCCTCTCCAACAACTCTCTCCCACTCCCCCAACTCTGCGCCTCTTCCCAAACTTACCATAGCTATTGCACAAATAGTCGCACATCTCTTCAGCATCCCAAATCTACGGAACACGTTCGGAAACTCTAGATGCAAACCCAACGCGCGTGAGAGTCTAACCTCCGGATTCGAGCGGGCAATCTGGTTGCTCGGGTTATCCAGTATCAGGAGAGCTAGTACGGTTGCGTGGAGGAGTTGCATCACTGACTCTGGCGACATAAATTTGTCTGGCATAGTCCCGGTCGGCGGGGAAGGAGTGCGCACTTGTGTCTGTGTGTGAGGGAGTGAGTATTCCCAAACCTCTAGAGCCTGGTACGGCGTCGGCGCCAGGCTAGGGGTTAACTCTGCAAGTGATGTAGGGCGGATTATCGAGCGGAGGATTTCAGATAGTGTAAGAAGATGTGTAAAGAGTGGCGGAGCTGTTGTTGTCGGTCTCGGGACGGCAAAGTCTTTGTATCTTATGACCATGGGGATGCCAGAGTACAAATACAGCCTGCGTCTCTATTAGTGCGTCCCCTCCGAAGCGGCGGGAGATAGGGGAGGACCAAATATCCTGGATTACCAACGCCCACCACAAATTCCTCACATAAGTCGACTCACCCCCCTCCTCTACATCGCCAGGTTGTAAATTCCATCCCAGAGAACATGCCATTCGTACGGCCTAGCTTATCAACAGGCGTACACCCTCGCCTCCCGCCGTGTCTGCCCTTCCTGGGGAACGTACCGTAGTAAACTTCATCCCATAGCCCTCTTTGTCAACCAGTAGCGCCAAGAGCATTAACGCTTGTACATTTTGTATCGCCGGGGTTTTGAACGGACTCTTGGTTAGCATGTATGTCTCTAATGACTTCTTCAGTTCATCGACGTCAAAATTCGGGCCCGACTCGGAACATAAAGTTGTAAGTAGCCGAGCACAGTAATTGAGCAGAATCGAAGAATCATGAGAAAGGTCCTTCGGAGCTATTATCGGAATGCAATTGGCTAGAAATGCTTTGAACCTAAATCACGGTCAGCCACAACCCTAACCCTGGCCTCTGGAGGATGAGAAAGATGGTATAATGTTACTTCACCTTTCCACTGGATCGGAATATGCACCGACAGTAGATGGAATAGAATATGCCCTACTAAACCATCAGATTCGAAATTGGGTTGGGGCGGACCCATCGGTTAGAGTAGAGCATTGGATTTATTCTACTTGCCTAGCTTCGGTGGTAGGGGATTCCCGGGTAGGCGAGTTTAAATCCTGTCTAGAGAGTCGTTAACCACCGTAAAACCGGCTGGGGGGAAACTGTTGAAAACTGATGGTACTTTTGAGCCGTGGTCCTCTTCCCTCTAGTCTCTTTAATAGACAATACAGATGTGCACTCGAAGCCATGTTCCATACACCTCTGGCAATTGCTGTTCTCGGGGCTGCTGGCGGGTAGAGCTGCAATATCGCAACTTAATAAGGGCCGGGGTTAGTTTGGGGTACGGTCTGACTTGATGGATAAAGAAACATTCCCTCTTTTTTTGCGTCTGAAGATCTCCGAAGGAGGGATGGCGGGACGGAAGGAAAGAAAGAAGGGTTTTACCGTGAACGACCACGCCTACATTGGTCGCAAGCTCGAGCGGTTTTAAGCCTTTTGATACGATTCTGTTTGGTGTCGTCTGCCATGGAGAAGAGAGGGGCGAATTTCGAAAGAGAGCAAACCTGGGTTGTGGTTGCGGTAATAGATGGAGGTAGGACCTGTGGAAGGATAAAAGGAATGTAAAAGGGCGGATAGGCGAATGTGGGGCATATCGTGACTTTAGCAATAGGAAAAAGAAAGCAAAAATGCTTGGAAACGATATCCACTCATCGCCCCCATACTAAACCCATCAATAAACTAAACCACACTAAACTACGTCCTGGTGAACCGGTATTGTACCTGTACTTTGCTACAACAACCCAAGTCCGGCAGCAGTACGGTAGGGTATTGATTGGTACAGTACAATATCGATTTCGGCACAGCATGTTTTACATTTGCAGTAAATGATAAGTTAAACCGAGCTTCGCCAATGCGGTATCATGCCTTCCCCCACTTATTAGGGATTCAGTATGTATTTACGCATGCAGTGTACACGAGAGGAAAAATCTCTTCAAGGACATTCTCACCACTCCACTAATTCAACTTCACACAGATCCCTCTTGGGACGTGCGAAGTGCAGATGCTCCGGCATTATTGTGGGGAGAAAAGATAGGCTCTGTGTAACAACACAACTTCACTTTCCTGCTGAAAGATTGTGTCTGACAGGATGCACACACCAAATGGTCAGACAAGGCTAACCAAGGCTTGCCAGCCCCTTCCCCACATCCACCTACCCACTATCCTTGAACCCTGCGCTGTCAGACGGTCCTCGTCTGCTCAGCATATTACAGTACTGTACTGTACTCGTACCAACCACTTCCTCCCCCGCTACCCTTAGCTCCGGGTACTATCATAGAAAACTCCAGCATCCTCCAAGGCGAAACGGCAACGTCTGCCGAAACCTCCAGAAAATACTCACGACGCACGACGCACGACGACTGAGGTGAAGAGGAATAGTGGATGTGAAAAAAACACGGTAAAATGGTCTACCACAAGCCTAGAAAATCGTGCCTAGGCTGCCGCCGCCGGCATCTAAAATGCGAACTAGAAGAGGGTTCGTCAAGCTGTTCCTGGTGCACAGAACGCGGACTAGAATGCGTCAAAGATCCAGAAGCTCGAGACAAACATTTATCTTCTCAAACAGCAAAAGACGGGTCTTCCTCCCCTTCCTTCGTCCTCCACCTATCCAACTAACTATGGAATGAAACACAGAGCAATAGTCCTCAACGGCTCCACCTCTGCATACGGCGGCCTCCAGCTCGGAGAATCCAGCTTTCTCCCGGCTGACGGGCCTAGCGCGAACCGAGTTCTCTGCCTTCGACAAGAACTGGGATTACAACACAAGCACCCAGCCAGCTGGACCGAAGAGCGAGACCCGGACCACGAGCTCCGCCTGGATAAACCGGTGTTGGACTACCTGCGGCAACTATACTTTACACGTGTGCACCCGTACATCCCCATCATCACGCAGACCTACCTCGACGATCCCGTCACCCGGCCGGGCCAGCTTCTGCTCTCGGCAATGTACGGCGTGGCGGCCAAGCTTCCCGGGGTGATCGTATCGACACGGGACTTCCTGCATATAAAGCGGGTGTTCGAGCACCAGCTTAAGAAGCTCACCGCAAACTATGTCCCAAGCCTGCAAGCGTGTCAGGCGCTCACGCTGATCCACCTGACGTTGGAGATGCAGTGCGAGGGGCTGGAAGGCGTAGAAACCTGGCCGCTACGTCTAGCCAGCGCGGTGCGAATGGCTCTGGAATTAAAGCTACACGACCAGTCCAAGTACCCTCCCTCACCGCCATACATGGCGGAACTCCACCGTAGGCTGTTCTGGGTACTTTTCACGAAGGATAGGTGGACGAGTACGGGGAAGGGGTACCCGCTCATGCTCGATATAGCGGACATCCGAACTTCCCTACCTACAGCAAAAGACCTCGACGATGACAGTAATGGCTCCGCCAATAACGATACCCCAGCTGCGCACGAATTCTTCCTAGAGCTAGTCCATCAGGCACTCGTCCTTGGGGCCATCCACCCAATCTGCTTCCGCGCGGATAGATATGCACACGTAACAGCCGCGCAATTCCGCAAAATCGAGGCCGAGGTTGACGCCCTCGGTTCCCGACTCCACTCCTCCAAACTCTCACCGACAGCCCAAGCCCATCTGGAACTCAATTACACCGCCATCCGCCTCCTCTTCTACGGCCCCTTCTTCAAGCCATCTTCTGACGCGGAAGCCACGCTCTTCAGCTCCTTCATACCAGACATCGCGAGCGCGCGCCTGCACCTCGCGAACGGGGCTGTCCACGCCCTTGGCTTTGCAAGCAAGGAATTGTTGTACACGGGGCCGAGCATTTGGAGTATTCTGTTCTATGCTATCGTGAGGTGCTTCCTCGTGGCGCTGAGCATTATGCATGACCCCATTGGCGGGTACTCACCACAGTTACGAAATGCCGCCGCGGAGGCGGTGGCCAAGGTTAGTGATATTGCAAGGTTCATGTGCGAGGAGCGGAGGTGGTGCTTTATGGTGCTCTCTGGGACGCTGATGTTGTTTACCAAGAGGGTTGCCGAGGATAAGGATACTATTCGGAAGATTAAGGGGAGTAGGGAAGCTTCGCCCGTGGCTGCTGCGGCGAGGGAGCAAGGGAGGAAAAGGAAGGCTGTGGTCGAGGAGGAGGTTACGAGAGTTAAGAAGCCTGTGAAGGGAGAGGCGGGGTCGAGGGCCAGGGGCGTGATTCCTGGAGAGGCGATGACTGGTGTTCAGGCGGCAATCATGCCACAGCAGGTAGGCTCAGGTACTGCGCCAGCAGCCGCGGCGGGTGGCATGGCTGGGATGGCGAGGATACAAGTATCGCCAGGAGAATTCACGGAATTTGGCAACTGGGGTTTGGGTAATGAGTATAGCGAGGAAATTGACTGGCGAGAGTGGGATACGTTGTTTTCCTCCATCACCAAGTGATCGACTACGGTATCCCGGTTGATTAATTTTATGTCTTATATCCTACGTGTATTGTAACTAGGAAGATCTCTCTACCTTATCCGGCTGGGGGCGTTTCACCCATACTACCGGTACTAGAAGTAATTACTGTGCGAAAGAAAAGGGGTTAGAAAGTTCCTCGGCCTTGGTAATCACCACTACAGTCACCACCATCCCCCATCTTAACATTTTCTTTTCTTTTCTTTTCACAACGATAAGATAGAGAACCAGCCGAACCTAACTTCCATTAAACCCTATACCGGTATTCCACCACCACCACTACTTCTGCTCAAACCCGTTCCTGCATTCATTCTACCCAACGCAGTACAAGTACAGTACCCGCCAACGCTTTCCCCTTCCGTGGCGCATCCCTCGCGGGACACCATATCGTATTCCTCCACGCGTCGGTGCGCTCGCACCAAGGCGTTCGTTTACCCGGCGAGGCACCGACCAAAGCTAGACGTATTAGACTATAGGATGCAACAAAGAAGCCGACTACAGCGTCTCACCGGTGTGCTGTAAGTCAAATAATACTTCTTGCATGAGCGCGGTGCCTTTCTCTCTTAGCTGGACAAATAAGTTACTAGTGATTATACGAAGTCAGGATGATACTCGTGCGTTGATCACAGTTGGCACTCGAATCCACGAGAAATGTGCTGAGTTCCTTGTAATCTTGGCAGGTGTTTGAAATTCCCCCTCTAGGATAAGGTCCGAAAGCTCGGCCCTTAGCCGAGATAGAAAAAAATCTACGGTGAGCGGTTACGCTATGACGTCCTAGCAGATTTCTCTCATTTCGAACACTTAAATTTACGGTATGCAGTGCCCCCACCTTTATGTCTCGTCTGTGCGCATGGCTCTTCGACAATCGAAACGCTTGGTCGGGAGAACCGATACGTCTCTCTTACGATGCTTAAAATATTTGCCAGGCAGAGGAGTCATGTTCATTCTCGCCGGGGGGTTACGTGCGATGCTCTACAGATTCCCGCTTCAATCCTCGCAGAGTAATATCGTTGGTTGGTAGGACTATGGCTAACTTAGGTGCGAGAGAAGGCCCGTGTATTATACATAGGGGAAGCTATTTCCTCTTTTCCTCATGTCCCCCCCCTCCCCCACAACGCTCCTGTTGTGGTAATGGACAATGATGCCCCAGAAAAAGTAAGGGAAGCAGATATTGTCATCACAGAATGTCACTCGATACATGGCCAATAAACCCTTTCCAGACCGACTTCTATAAGGGGGTTGTGATGGAGAATCTAGGAAACCCGAACGTAAACGCGCCTGCTAGCTAGATCTCGTGGAACCTTCCCATCCCCCCTTTTCGATCGAATCCGAGCTAATACCGCACATCAAGGTAGAGTGGCACTTTGCAAAGTTTATATCGCGGGGAATCAGTCTGGTGCTAGCAGAGCCATCTTGGCAGGTCTTACTTCACCGGAACAACCTCAGGTCCGGTACCCCGCGTGCGAAGCTAGTGATCCCAAGCGTCCCGGATGCCCGGCAGACATCTGCAGGACCGTAGGAATCCTAGACATGGTGTCTCATACTGTAGGTCCCTGTATCCGAGCAGTCTCCGTCCATCACCTACGGGGGTCCACCACGTTCCGGAATCCGAAGCAATAACGGAGCCTATCCTCCTGCCCCGGCCAGAGGTCCGGACGGTCGGACTGGGCGCCCGGGTCCAATAGCGTCAACAATATAACCACGCTTAACAGTAGCCTACTGTACTACAGGAAATCCATTCAACAGATTTTAATCTATTCTGGACAGGGACAGCTCTGTGCCAGGGTAACGACCCATACAACCGGGTGTGATCTAGCTCTCGGCTACTCAACCACATCAACTCTTTACAGGTACCAGTGCCCTGGCAACGGTGATCGTCGCATGCCCTTTTCACACCAACAGTGGACATTTTTGCAGCGATGCAACAATGTTATTGTGACCTTGATTGATTATTTAACAGCTCCAGGTATCAGGCCCTGATATGTACTTCACAGTACCCAAATTTTAGTTGGGTCGGACGCATCTTGCATTGTCAGCCAAGTTGTGAAAATCAGAAGCTTCAAAACAAGTGCCGTTTTCTATGCGTGCCCATACAATTTGCGAGAAATGGTGCAAATACTTGGACACTTGAGCGGCTGAGCCTCTCTTGTTTGTGGAATGGCGGATACACGATCAATTGTGGCCAAAGAAACATGGACCAAATACCTGGGCTACTCGCTAAGTTACCCTCAATTACATTTTGGTAATAGTTGGTATTGAGGTTCTTGAATCACTGAGGATTTAGTTGAGGCCAAATTTAGCCGGTTCTGGTATGTTTTTAGTGGTATTACTTTACCCGACTGAGGACGATTTCTGTATGCCCAAGGACTATACTGTACTCGAGTCATTGCATCCTACAACTAGATCCGTAACCGCGTCAGCGGTAAGTCCAGAATAGCTTCCAATCTATCCTAACGACAATGTGCTTGCCATACGCAAAGGTTGTGATAATGCCCCTGTCATACCCCGGATACGTGAGCGGACACCCATGAAAATTTAACGACTTAGTTTTGAAAACAGAGTCCCATCGCCACTCGGACTCAATCTGTAAAGTAGAGCAAGCTAATGCTGATAGCAACAGTCAAATGGGAGACTGGTTGTGCGCAGGGAAATTCGGTGGTGGGAGAAGCACAACGGTGTTGCACACGTCGATCTCGTGTTCTAGGGTAACTGTGTGTGGAGAAGATCGTTCAATTCGATGTACGAGTACTGTACTGTACATGCTCAAGAAAGACTCGGAGAGGAAGGGAGGATCCCAGTACTGTTAAATACAAGTTGCGGTGGCCAAGTCCACCACGTGTGTTACCTAAAACAGTTCTCCTGGGGCATCCGACCCGCTGTGCCCAACTTAATACTAATATCATCCCATGATGAGATTACTCCATCAAATGCCGGTAGATTAGGTCCGCTGAGCTTGTCTTGATATTCCAACGCCCTACTGCCAAAGCACGTGTGCCGGCATCTTATTGCGGTCTCGGTTGCTTGCTCGCACAACCACTCTAGAGGCTTGGGAGTGAAATGACGAGGCAATAAAATTTTGGAGAAAATCCACCGGCCAAAGGGAAAAACACTCCTCAAAAGGCCCGTAATTGCCTCTATTCCCGGACATGGAAGTTCGCTTTGGGCTCCATCTTTATCAGGGAAATCAATCCGAACTCGCAGGTCCATTGGAGTGGTTGAATACCATACATGCGGCGCATCACTGCGGCTATAGTGGTCCCCACTCTTGGTTTCCAAGACTGCCGGCACCGGCCCCGCGTCAGTTTCTCCAAGGGTGAAAGCCAAAGTGTGCCAATTATAAATGACTGATAAAATGTTGAGATGTGGGTCGTCTAGTTGACGTATAACAGCCACTAATATCATTAACGGGTCAGAGCGACTAGGTCGGTTGAAGAGGGGAAAGGTTTTTATGATAGCGAGTGTGGTTGGGTCCAGTTTTGAGGTTACCTCTCTATCAGTTGGCGCCGCAGCCTTCTCACACTCTGCATTAGTCGTAAAAGAAGTAACTCACCGTAGGACCCCAAATAATTGAACAGTTTGCTATCGCCCAAGCTGCTTCCTCTGGTCAGATCTGGCATTTTTCACTTTTCACTTTTCTTCTTTCAGGGAAGCTGAACAGCTCACCTTTTGCCGCGTTTTTTTGCGCCTTTTCCTGAGAGAGAAATTTTGGACTATGATACCAATGCATCCGTTCCAATTGTCTGAGATTCCACAGTAAATAAAAACCGAGCCACTCAATAGCTTCATCGACGGGTTCGTTCCCTTCCCTTGGCTGCTACTTCGAAATTGATACATCGGAGGAAAACCGGGGATACAAATTAAAGGATAACTACTCGAGCAAGTTACATGTGAAGGCTTCTAGCGTAGAAGGTCTGAGCTTCTGTACGAGCATGATATCTGGTTATGCTAGTAGCATTTACTGTACGGAGTATTGTACAGTATTGTGCGTTGACAAAATTAACCGCGATTCAACAATCGGTGGCAACCCACCCCTCTTCATCACCCTGCACTCTCAACAGTACCTAAAAGAATTGCTCTAAGTCAACCAAGAAGAAACCATTCTGCTCAATTCTTTTTTTCAATAAACTATGCCTCCTATTATTTGCAGTCATGCCAAAAAACCTATTCCCTCTACACATCTCTCTGAGTTTACCAGGGGGAGGATTCTCGGATTACACGAGCCCCAGATGAGATATCAGCAAATTTCCCACTACCTTAATATCCCCTACACTACTGTCAGAAACACAATTGCAAAGGGACATCAAGAGGGCAAGGAGAATAATTGTAGAGGAAGACATCCTAAAACTACCAAGTCACAGGATGATGATATGGTGGAGGAAGCTCTTAAAAATCGCCATACTATCTATTCTGACATTGCTGAGCAAGTTGCTCCCAATGTTTCTAGTAGGACAGTAAGGAGAAGACTTGAAAAAAAGCATCTTAGAAAGTGGATAGTACAAGAGAGAGTTTATTTGGATGAGGATCTAGCTTAAGAGAGGTTGGGATGGGCATTAGCTCATAGGCATTGGACAAAGGAGATGTGGAGAAGGAAGGCAATATGGGGGGGTGAGGTAGCTGTGGAAAGGGGAGGAGGAAAGAGGAGAAAATGGGTTTTCAGATACCCATATGAGAAAGAGAATAAGGATTGTGTTGAGCCTAAGGCTAGGAGAGGGGAGAGAGGGATTAGCCAGATGATGACTGGTTGTTTTTATAGTCAAACTCATGGTCTTTTTTTGCCTGTTTTTCCTGATCCTTCTTCTGCTAGGGGTGGAGTTACTGGGAAGTCAATTATTGATGTTTATGATCATTATGACTTTCTAGGGATATGAGAGAATATCAGAGAAAAGGCTGGAGAAGAAGAGGTATTTTTTATCATTGACAATGCTAAGACTCACTTGCCATTTAGGAGATGGCTCAGAGGGCAGGGAATTACACTGATGGAAATTCCTGCCTATTTACCAGATCTCAATCCAATTGAAAATATTTAGTCTCTGGTGAAAGGTAAGCTTCACAAGCACTGCCCTGAGCTATATCTTATGAAGGGTAATGTCAATGTGGTCAAGAAGGCAATAGTAGAGACCATCACTCATGGTTGGGAACTTCTTGACCCAAAGGTTTTTGATACTTTAGCTGGATCAATGGTGGATAGAATAGAGGCAATTATTAAGGCTGATGGATGGTATACCAAATATTAATTTCTACTATGTATTTACATCTTTTAATTTTTTTTTGGTTTTCATGATAGTGGATTGGTGGGTGAGTGTGGTTGTCATCGCGGAATAGTTTCCTCTGTTGAATCGCGGTTAATTTTGTCCACGCACAATACCTGTGTATAGGGCTATAATTACGGTTGGTCTTCATAAGGCGATGCTTAGGTAAGTCACTGTCAAGTACTAGTACTCGTACTTGTGCCGCACTGTGCTCGCATTTGTTTGAATACTACCCTACTCGTACAGCGCGATCATAACTATTGTGGAATTCGAGTATTCGTATATACATTGATAGGTCTAAGACCACCGCCTAAGGGATGTGCCGCCGCTGCAGAGAGGTGAAATATCCTGGCCGAGGCAATAGTGGGTGGGGGTGGGGGGTTTGGTGGATAGGAATGTGACGCCGCCCAGCGGTTAAGTTTATCAGCGCCCAGCGGTTTGCTACAGGTAGTTCTAGCCGTGCATGGTTACCACTTGCCCCAATAGGGGTGCAATTCCCATTTCAACCACGTCAAGAATTAAATTTACCCGAGACACAAGGGCTACGGCTTCAGGGAATTCGAGCGACATCACAAGAGCAAACCATGGCGCTAAAGGTGGGATGATGTGGGCGCGAGCAGGTGGAGCAGACAGCCAGCCGACTAAGAGGCATATTGAACATTGCCAAAGGCCTCAAGCGGACCCTTTCCACTTCCACATCAACTAATTCATCAGACCCTGAGCTGGCATGACGGTGATGAAAAGATCGCGGCTCTTCTTCACGCGGCTCGAAGAACCTCCAGGAGTCCTTTCCCCTTGATACATGCTCTCTGACGAACTGAGGAGGACCGGTCATGGAAATATCTTGCCCAAGTCGCAAGTAGGTGGAGATCACCAAATTCAATCTATCCGTTGGTCTATTCATCTTGCCGGCCGTCCGCATGTCACGCAGGGCAGCGGCAGGTCCACACCCCCCGCTCCCCCGCTCCCCCTCGGAACCCTGATTTTAACCTTCCCCTCTCGAACTTCTTGCGAGAAGTTAAATATCCTACAGCCCTCAATTTCCCTTTCGCTCCCAATCCGCTCGGTCCATCCTGTGAATAGGGGGTGAGCCAATTGTGGCCATTTCTGTCTCTCTTTTTGTTCATTACAATATGCTATCCCTGACCTTCAGCACAGCGATCCTAGTGTCCATCTGCCTAATCTCAGCTGCCACGGCCATCCGCCCCCGCGCTCCCGATGCCAATTCGTGTCCGGGTTACAAGGCGATCAACGTCAAGAAGACCGATAGTGGTCTCACGGCGGAATTGCAGCTCGCTGGGACTGCCTGTGATATTTATGGTAGGGACTTGGCAAACTTGAAGCTGCAAGTGGCATACGACTCAAGTATGCACCTGCCCCTCTTTATCACGCGCGCAATTGACTGACAGTTTGTCGCAGAATCTCGCATTCATGTTAAGATAACCGACCCGGAAGAGAAGAGATACCAAGTTCCGGAGGAAGTATTCCCTCGGCCAGACAACAGAGTCAATGGGCCAGCGAAACCGTCCGACATTACCTTTACCTATGCCGCTTCCCCCTTCGGTTTCACCATTACCCGGCGCTCCACTGGCGAGAAGCTGTTCGACACCACTGGGAATGCGCTCGTCTTCGAGAGCCAGTACTTGCGACTGAAAACCTCTTTGCCCAACGATCCTAACATCTACGGTCTTGGAGAACATTCTGACTCTTTCCGTCTCCCCAATATCAATCACACCCGCACCCTCTGGTCTAGAGACTCTTATGGTATTCCGCAGAATAGCAATCTGTATGGGAACCATCCCATCTACTTCGATCATCGCGAGTCAGGTACCCACGGTGTCTTCCTTTTGAACTCCAATGGCATGGACATCAAGCTTGAGACCGTGGATGGCAAGTCAAGCCTTGAGTATAATGTCATTGGAGGTGTCTTGGATCTTTACTTCTTTGCTGGCCCTGAGCCGGCTGCTGTTGCGAGGCAGTACGCTGAAGTTGTTGGACTTCCTGCCATGATGCCCTACTGGGGATTGGGTTTCCACCAGTGCCGCTATGGTTACAGAGATTGGATTGAAGTTGCTGAGGTAACATATGGCCGAGTGCTCGGTTATGATTATAACTAACCTGGAAAAATAGGCTATTGCAAACTACTCCATTGCCGAGATTCCCTTGGAGACTATGTGGACTGATATCGACTACATGTACAACCGCTGGATCTTTACTCTTGATCCCGAGCGATTTCCTCTCGACAAGGTTCGCGAGATCGTCGACTACCTTCACGAGCACGACCAGCACTACATCGTCATGGTTGATCCTGCCACCGCTCACCAAGACTACCCAACTTTTAACCGCGGCAAGGAGGATGACATTTGGCTCAAGGAGGCTGACGGCTCCATCCACAAGGGTGTCGTCTGGTAAGTCACTAATTCAACCTCTTGTCGAAGCCACAGCTAACCTTAGCTAGGCCCGGCGTGACCGCGTTCCCCGATTGGTTTCACCCTAACGCTGGCTCTTTTTGGACTGGCGAGTTTGTTGAGTTCTTCTCCGCTGATGCCGGTGTCAACATTGACGGTGTCTGGATCGACATGAATGAGCCCGCCAGTTTCTGCAGCTACCCGTGCAGCTACCCCGAGACCGACGCCGCCGAGCAGAAGATGCCCCCTCAGCGCCCCCCTGCCCGTAACCCTCCCAGATCTATTCCTAGATTCCCCGGCATCGGAAGCACCGCTGTGACCGCTCAGAGCACCAAGCGTAGAGTGCGTAAGAGACAAAAGGGCTCGATTGATCTTATCTCTCCCCCGTACGCTATTGCTAACGATGCACCATTGGGATTGGGTGACCGCACCGTCCACACTGACATTACACACTACGGGGGCCTTTCTGAGTACGACACCCATAACCTTTACGGAACTAGTAAGTTCATTAGAGACACCTTGGAAATATAGATATTAATCATTTCCAGTGATGGGCGACGTCACCTACGAAGCTATGCTTGCCCGCCGCCCCGGATTGAGGCCCTTGGTCATCACTCGTAGCACTTTTGCCGGTGCCGGTAAGCGTGTTGGAAAGTGGCTCGGGGACAACTTGTCCCAATGGGACCATTAGCGCGTCCCCCTCTTCCACGTTTTCCGCCGGATCTAGCTAATAACCCTTAGCCGCTGGTCGATCGCCGGTATGCTCGGCTTCGCCAGCATCTACCAAATCCCCATGGTCGGCTCCGACGTCTGCGGCTTCGGCGGCAATACCACAGAAATCCTCTGCGCACGCTGGGCCTCTCTCGGAGCTTTCAATCCCTTCTTCCGCAACCACAACGGGGACACCTCCATTCCCCAGGAATTCTACCTCTGGCCGCTCGTCGCCTCCTCGGCGCGCAAGTCAATCGACATCCGCTATCGCCTGCTAGACTACATCTACACTGCCATGCACCACCAATCTATCGACGGAACCCCGCTTCTTAGCCCGCTCTTCTTCAAATACCCCAAGGACACAAATACCTACAAAATAGACACCCAATTCATCTACGGCAACGCACTCCTCGTCTCCCCAGTCATCGAGGAGAACAGTACTAGCGCAGAAGTCTACCTACCTAAGGACACCCTTTACGACTTCCACACTGGCAGGAAGATCAAAGGAGAGGGCAAAAACGTAACACTCACAAACATTCCCTTCGACGAAATCCCTTTGCACATCATCGGCGGGAATATCCTGCCTTTCCGCTCCTCCAGTGCACACACCACCACTAAGCTCCGCACCCGGCCATTCACGATCGTAATTGCGGCGGACGAGCGTGGTGAGGCGAGCGGGGAACTGTACATAGATGATGGAGTTAGCATCCAGCAGAAGGCTGTCATCGACATCACGATGGAGTACAAGAGTGGAAGGTTGAGCATTAAGGGGAAGTTCGGGTTTACTGGTGGGATGGAAGGTGCTGGTGTTATGGTTGAGTCGGTGAAGGTGCTTGGGAAGAAGAGGGGGAATTGGGAGAGGGATGGAGAGGGAGCGGAGGAGGTTGTTGAGAAGAAGGTTTATGTGGAGCTTGTTGGGGATGTGGAGATTGAGGTTAACTGTTGAGGAGTGGGTGGCAAGATATCTGAATTGTGTGTTTGTATGTATCTATGTGCCAATATGTACACAAGGTGAATATATTTTCTTTCTTTCTTACCGCCAATTGGGATCACAAAATCAGAGCTTGGTGCGAGCAGTTACCGTGATAGCGACAAGACCGGATAAGAGCCCAAGCTAACCTAACCCAACCTATCTCTAATATCTCAATAATTGTACAGTATATAGCCCCCCCCCTCACCCCTCCCCGTCCTATAGTCTCCGCTGGGTGGCCTCCAATCGGATATCTTCACATGAGTTCGCCTGAAAAGATTTTCCGTGTTCGTGACATGATCACGTACGACCACAATCACCAAAAGTTCGGCTAGTTTCATGGGCACTCTCCTACAAGAACTGCAATGGCAGGGATAGATATCACAACGAGTTGATATGATGTTCCGGTCATGTTCGGGCATAATGCTTACGAGAAAGAAAGAAAGAAAGAAGAAAAGAACGGGAAGCAGAAATAAGGGGTGTGCGAGGGGGAAAGAAGGGTTAGCTTAATGGGGTATTCGAGTTACAGTAAGAGTACCCTCAGGTCCCGTCACGGCGCTGTCCAAATCTAACAATTACCTGCACAACCATTGTTAGTATTCAAGCACGATCTCACTAGCTGTTCGAACTCACACATAACCAGGGCGCAAGTAACACATCATCCCGAGTGGAATAAGTAAATAAGAATTCTTGGCATGGTATGAATTCCGAGTTATATCACCAATGAGCTGATATATATACAATCGAAAAAAACCACAAAACTCCATCGTCACCACTAGTTGTATTCCACCCACTACGAGTAACTCAAACCTTCTCCTGTTTCTCAACCTTAAGCCTCCCCCCATCAGCTAGCGCTGCAGCGCCAGTGATTTCATACGCCTTAAACTTCCTCGCCGGCACACCCTTCTGGAACAGCTCGTCTAACTCCTCCAGCGCACGCCCGCCGGTCTCGGGAACCCAGATAAAAGTGTAAATCCCACCGGCGATGACACAGGCAGCGAATATGAAACCGACCTTGGGACCTAGGCCTGCCCCGTCGTCGTTTGTGAGGTAGGGCAATGCGAAGGTGACAGTCCACGAGAAGAGGATGTTGGAAGCACTGCCTAGGGCTTGGGTCTTTTCTCGCAGGGTGTTTGTCGAGACTTCAGAGGTTATTACCCATGCTCTATTCTTCACGTTAGTCTGATACTGTTGGTCACATGCGGGAGAGATGGGAAGGGGATTTTACAGGGGACCCCAGGACGCGGCGAAACCAAAGACGTAGATTAGCACAAAGGCGACTATAGCACGCTGGGCGACGATGATCTCTTCCGATTTCATCCCTGCGATTCCCACCACGATATGCCCGATAAACATTACCGCCGAACCTGCGAGGAGCAGCGGCCGACGGCCTAATCTATCGACCAGTAAGAATGAGACTACCGTCCCAACCAGGTTTACCAGATTTGTCACTATCGTTATTATGAAGGGGCCCCCGACCCCAATTTGCGAGAAGAACACAGTTCCGTAATTGAAGATGAAGGAGACGCCGGTCAGCTGCTGCATCACCTGGATGAGAATAGCCAGGAAGGTTCGTCGCTGCAAGTACATAAATTGTTATCGGGATACCTTCTCCCTTCTGATTCAGCGCGGGGGGGAAATGGAGTACCGTACCCTATTCGTAGTCTTGAAACAGTCAGCCCAGCTAGATGCTTTGTTAATTTCCTGCTGCTCGCTTATTGTCTTCTTGAGGAATAAAACTTCGCTTTCGACGGAGAATCCAATGTCCCCCCTGTGAATGACTTCCAGACTCTTTCGGGCATCCTCTTCACGTCCCTTCTTCATCAACCATCCTGCTTATGTTAGTCCATAATAAGCTATGAAGGCTTCGCCCAAGTCACCTACTTGGCGATTCCGGCAGGAGCGGTAGCCCTGGGATAATCAAGATTGGGAATACCAAAAGCAAGCCGATAGGAATCCTATACGAGGCATCGCTCTTAATTTTCTGGGCAAAATTGTTCACAATGGATATCAAAAAGCTTCCAACGACGATGTTAAGCTGATATAGGGTGATCATGGTGCCACGTATCCGTCGTGGAGAACATTCAGCTATCGATTCCCTCCGGGTAAACAAATTGTCACTGTCGGGATCAAATCACGGATCACGAGCTCTCACCTTGATATATGGGAACAAAAATGGTAGCAAAGCCAATCGATACATCTGGTTTAAATAATCAGCCATAAGCCACCCCACCCGACGAAATGGGATCGCTGCCGCGCTAGACATACAATTAAAGAGCCTCCCAGCAACAAAGAGAGCTTCGTTTTTCGTGACGATTTGCATCACAACCCCAATTATGCTGGTAGCGCACATAATGAATAGGCCCCATCGTCGCCCCAGAACATCCCCAATGTACCCACCCGACAGCGCCGCCAAGAATTGTCCCACATATGGAAATGAGGTGATGAAGGATTGCTTCCCAGCGGGAATATAATACTTCCCGGTCTTGCCGTTGAAACTTCCGAAATCCTCAATAAAGTTGGGCATGGCAAGGACACCGGAAAGGTACCCGCCGTCCATGCCGAAAATCAACGCTCCCAAGGAGACGAAGATGCAAAGGCCGATGACCACTATCCTTGCCATTTGGTGGTAGGATATGATTGGGAGAATAAAATAATTGTAGGAAATTTGCGTGTGCAGGTGTTAGGGACTTAGTTAGATGCTAAGGAAACGGACAAAGCATACAGGTACCCTTGGCTGGTTCTTATAACCCGAATTTCCGTTCCATTATATCGTCTCTATCTTAACATCTCAATCTATGGATGGTTTACCCCCATGGGGGAGAATGAAACCCCCACTCCCACCCACGCACCACTAGCCTGGCACCGGCGACGGCCCGCGAGATTCAGCTCGTTCTCCTGCAGCCTGAGGTAAAATGTTAAGGTCATACCTACCTTGAAATATACTGGAATTGTCTATGCATCCCCTTCTCCCACTTCTACTTACGGTAACTATATATATGTGTGTCGCCGCAAGCACGGTATTGTAGGAGACAAGCCGCCAAAGTCCTCTCTGTGGGCTCCTGGCCTGACGTAATAGATATTTATCACACACAGGCTCAATTGAGAAGACTTAAGCTAGTGCCCTCTTTCCAGTCCGTATTGAGCCGGCCTTGTGAATATATCTCGAACTCTGAGTACCGTAGATAATAATCCTATAGTATAATGACACGAAACCTCCGGTACGAATGAGTCCACTTCATACCCGCGAAGGAGGGGTTGAAATATGTTCGAGCATGACCGTGTATCAAGAAGTCCTTCTCCCGGAATCCGAGATCTGAGGCTTGCAGCACAGTCCCGTACCTGAACCTGACAGCTACCCCCATTTACTATACCGTCCTAGCTAGAACGGGGTGTAAGGTTAATTAAACACCTCAACTCGGCAGAGAAAAGCAAAGCCAAAGTACATTAAGAAATTGGAATAATTGGACCTTCGCACTAAGACTTCTAAAATCCCCTCTCTTAGGCGGGTAGGGGGAGAGCGAAAACACCGCGAAACCTGACCCCATCAATCCCAGCATAAGCCAAAAAAAAAAAGCAAAAAACTACCCCGTCTTACCAGCAAAATAAACTCCATCATCCAAGTATGAGATTCAATTATTCCAGTTCTTACGGCAGTCCCCTGTACAGGAAAACCTCTACCGTAAGAACCCTAAATGGACGCACTATGTACTATTTTTATTTGGTTCGTGCAACCCAAAACGTGCACCAGGCTACAACTCGTCAATTGATTGTATCTCACTATCAAGACCAGTAATTACTTCAAAAAACCACTACGTTATTCTCATTAGTATTTCCAATACCAGAGTGGTTTTTTTTGAAGTCATATTAAATTTTTATATTAGTGGAGGGGTGTTATCATTTAAAAATGCTAATTGCTGGTGTACGTTTTGGGCTGCACGAACCATACATAGACCAACGCCCCAACGGGTAAACGGGTGAGATACACACCAGCGCGCAGGCATATGATTTGATCATTCGAGTTCTTACGGTATGGAACCCTGATTGCAACTAGAGTTAGGGGAAGAGAACTCTATTATCGTACCCAGAAATCCCTACGGTAGAGAGCTACTCGGATAGTGACAAGAAAGCCCACTCCAATTCTAACATGACATTGTGAAATATTTGCACACGATAGAACAGTACCATCCATGAAGTATAATGTAGAGTTGTAAAAGCCAATTGTTAAAAGCGCAAATGAGTATCATATCAGAGAAAGAGATAAGGAGTGACAGATCGCAGGAGCTATTCCACAGAACAGAAATTGTAGCTAATTAAAAGTGGGAGGAAGTGTGAAAATAGTAGAGATTTTTGCACGCATCAGATCCACTGAGCGAGAACGTGCAATCACCCATTTACTAACCAAAAGCAAAGTTAAGAGAGTGGTAGTAATACACATTACAGTGCCGTTCTCGTTACAGACAAGAAGTGCCCGCAAACAGAGATTCCCAAAATATATGGCAAAAAATCCGTGCTTATCCGGGCGTCCACGCCAATTCACGACCCCCGTTTTCGGCGCCTCTCGAGCGTCACGAGTATAAACACTAGAGGGGCTAAAGATACTCTAATACCGAGCCAGGGCTATCTCTCCCCTCCAAGAGGGTTTAACAGCATTCCCGGCAAGCCGCAACCCAGCAGTATGTTGGAAATGCAGCTCGGCATGCTTTTGTTTTTTAGTTTCTTTTGTTCTTTGGGAGTACGGGTATTTTCCAAGGGGAGCAGGTATTATGGAGGGGTATTTCTTTTGTCCGGGAATTATGCAGGATGTTTTGGAAGGTTCAGAATGTCGCTACGTTTTTCATTTACACTCCTGTTATTGCCGTCAGTTGGGTAAGTAAGACTAACACAATTTAAGTTGCACACTATCCTCTCCCACTGTTCTCCCTCATCGTGATGCCGTATTTTGCCACCCCGTTTACGACAGTAAAGCTCTCGGCTCCGATAACTTCTGTTGGGAGGCATCGCGACATCGTTGTGCTAGGGCGACAAAGCGGTAATCTCCGCATAACGT